AGTGACTAATTTGCATTTGCATTAGAAACAATGTATTTGTTTGTATTGCTTCTAGGGTGCATACAAAGGTTACCACAAGCTCAAATTATGGCTGTCAGTACTTATTTGTGTTATATTATATTGTAGAGCACCCTTGATCCTCACCTGACTATGGCTTTATAAACTTTATCCATGATGTGGTTTATAACTGTGGTTTATGGACTGTGGTACAGAAACAGGGACATTTTTACACACTCTTGGCTTACATTTTCCATGTTGTCTGTCGGTGATCATACTTGCACTAGATGTGATAGTTTTTGGGATATTCAGTTTATTAGGCCAGATGAGCAAACCCTACTAAGATGTAACACATTGTGGATTACAGTACAGTAATGTATTACAGTTGTATGCGACTGTGTCATGTAGCACTTCATTTATTGATGCTGCTGTTGTTTCTCCAGCTACGAGACAGGTCCTGCAACATCGACTCCCTTGAAGCGAAAACCTTTGCAAGTCCCGGCTCCAGCATTGGTTCTTCTAGTGGAACAGACCTGTAAGTCATGCATAACAATATATTAATTTTGTCCTAATAGTTTTGATTAGAAACATGAACTTTATGATTAGTGTGTAATTTTATTTTATTTTTGGTCTATATCTACTGTTGAATGAGCATATGTGGGATTTTCACAACTTGCTTTGGTTATTCTTTACAGAGATGCGCATCTTGATGTCATTCCAGAAGCCACAGAAATTCAGGGCCTTGAACAAAGGTAACATGTACACATCATAACTTTTAGCCCTGTATTGCTTTTGTCCAAATGTTCAGAATATATATTTGTAATAATTTTGCAGCTTACATGACATGAGCATTGTTGAGGAGGACTTGGAGGAAAATGTTTTCAATGACCCAAATGAACATTGTGTACGTAGTACTCCCTAATTACATGTATTATTTTTCTGTGATATTTTTTGAGAAGCTGCAAACACGGGCACCTTGAATCGGAGCAAATGCGGGGGAAAGATGTGGATCCAGAGAGACTCCCAGTGCCACAAAGTTTTAGTGGATATAGTTCTCAATAAGAGGTGGCAGAAAGATGTTCACAACTATCTGCGATTCAGGTAGTGTGGCTATACTTTTTCACACTGATGTATATTAGTAATATTTGTGCTTACTGCTCATGTACACAGAAGTATGTATTTGTTTGTTTGTTTGTTCTATCAGATCGACTGCAGACCTAGAGTCATTCCAGAATCATATCCTGATGTATGCCAGCAAGCGCTATGCTTTCAGCCAACCAGTTTATGAGAACAATGAAAATGTTGGACGGCAAAGAGATGTACGTTTTACACTTATATAATATTCCCATTCATAGTACAATATTCAGCCAATGTTTTATATGCAATATGCAAAATGTCTTTACATTCAAGGTTTTCTCTTGTTCTACTTACAAACTGATATTAAATGGTTGTAATTTGTGTTATTTCAGTTTCAAAAGATTGTATAAGAAGAACGCTAGAAGATACAGCATATATGCCTTGAAATCTGAAAAAACCTACAGATACATTTACGAGTTGTAAAGAAGGATTGTGAAGAACAGACTCACAAGTGGAGTGGGGATGCCTAGAAGGAGGAGCCTTCGACCAGATGACCCCAGACAGCTTGGTTTGGTGCCCCCCGTACCTGCACCAGCCACATCAGACTTGTTACAGAGACAAATCAGAAGAGGTCTAGGTAAGTTACACAAATTTGTTGCCTATGTTGTACCATATTACATGTCACTGAATGATATTTACATTACAATATAGTCTGTAACTATGTTTGATGGCACTGTCTTCAACAGGACCGTTATTCCAACCAGCATCTGATGTGGAAGGATCCCTATAGGAGATCACCTTGCATGTGTCCTGATTCTTGTCAGGCAGGATCACGAGGGAAAGAACTTCAGTTCACTGACAAAGTAGCTTTTACTCTTCAAAAAGAGAAATTTATTAACATTAAATTCTGTTCCTACCCTCCTCTATTGGTAATTTCATGTTTTTCCATTTTGTACACGTTTCATCTTATTCTGCTAAGTACACTGTGACCTGCGCATATTATTTTCAGTAGGTAGCCTAAATTACAGTTTATAATTTTGAACAGTAATGATAAGTAAGGCTACAGCTGTCCCTTATTATGTAAATATAAATAACTAAAATTGGTATTGGAAATGTTATGGCAAAGTTTGAAATTGTCATACTTTTCTAAACACATGTACAAATGTATATAATGAAAATAAAAACACCATGTGCTTCTATTTCTTACCTTTTATTTTTTCAATACCATAGAACTGCAGTTGAACAACTATAACACAATATATAACTATAAAACATACATCAAATTTGCCGTAATGTCCTCCCAGTACTGCCTGTGAATGTGAATAAAGCCTTCTTCAAGGCAGTACTGGGAGAAGTGTGGCTGTAGGCTCACACAGTTCGCTTGCTCCTGGCCACAGCATTTCCTGTCCTGGTCCGTAGGCATTTCCCTACAGTTACCACAAGTACACCAAGGTACTCCTGGTACTCCAGCAGAAGGTGGGGCACCATGTCTGCGCTGATGCATCATCATCAAGGCATCAAAGACCAGGCCTGGCTGCCTCTCCAGCAGAAGGGTGGAAAGATCTCTGTGTTCTTCAAGGGTCATCTCCTGAAGAAAGTTTCTGAAGAAAGAGGACACGGAAAAATACTCAATATGCAATATTCTCTGCTTCAGTACTCTGGTTACTCTGTCTCAATAATGTTGTTTTTAAGATTGTATCCATTCCAAATGAACTATACCAGTACTCATTATTACTATTAGTATTTAATGCACTACTACTATTTATCATTACACTTCTGTTGATGCTGTAAATTACTTTACATGTCCACATTACCTTTATTTAGATTTTATAATTTGTATATTTAATTATATTTCCTACTTACCTACTTTATATAGTTATTTCTTTTCCTTAGTATCTTGACATGCAAGTTTAGCAATTGTGACCAAGAATACACCTTTTTATTGATACCCCTCGGGTATCAATAAAGAATTTCTGATTCTGATAAAATAAGGCTTTATATATAAGTTGCATGACATTATGTTGGCAATATGGTACTGCATATTAGGGTTTGCAGGCTGGCCAGTGTTTGCTCAACTTGTATAATATGGCTTCATATAATCATTGTTGTCCAGTAAATCACATGTTACACTATGAAAACATTCAACTACTAACTAACGTTACAGTACCAGGGGTACATGTGCACAGAGCTGCTATGTAAATAACATTATCACTGTGCTGGGGTTTGTGCAAACAAGTCAGAATATAATAACGTTACATTTACCTTATAAATACAAACCTCGGTAACAGCTCTCCGGTTCCTTTGGAGGGCTTCCACTCTTTCTTCGTCCTCTATTGAGCCATCACTCCGGGTAGGTCCTCTGGCTCTCCTTGCCCTGACAGCACCTCCAACACCTCTGCCTCTCCGCCCTCTTCCTCTCCCTCTCTCTCTTACAGTTATCTCCGGTAAATGGACTTCTGCATTTAGATCACATTGACATGTGCTGGTTCTGTCTAACGTTATCTTCTTCTTCCTTCTTCCTCCTTGTGCTTTTATTGTCAGTTGGCAAACAAGGAATTGGTGCGTTACCGCCACCAACTGGTATGGAGTGTGGATCAGACCTTTATACATCTCTGATCATGGAGAGAAATACTTCTGTGAGTGATTAGTTGGACTTAGTGGGCGGGCCACAACACGTTGATTGACAGTGAAGGAAGAGGAAGGAAAAAGCAATACACATAGGTCTCTAAGGAAAAAGCAATACACATAGGTCTCTAAGGAAAAAGCAATACACATAGGTCTCTAAGGAAAAAGCAATACACATAGGTCTCTAAGGAAAAAGCAATACACATAGGTCTCTAAGGAAAAAGCAATACACAATAGGTCTCTAAGGGAAAAGCAATGACAATAGGTCTCCTTGGGGAAAGGCAAAAGCAAATGTGTGTGTTTATTCTTTTATTCATTCATTCTTTCTTGCATATATTTCCCCATTTATTTATTCATTCTTTCATTTAATTCTGACACTTTGGATGTTCCATATTTGGGAGTAGGGCTGCAACTAATAGTTCATTACATCATTGATTACGTTTTTTCTATATATATTATATATTGCAACTAACCAATCAATTGTTTAATCTGTAAATTGTAAGAAAAATGTCCATCAAAGTTTTGCAGATTCATGGTGATATCTTCAAATGTCTTGTTTTGTCCATCCAATAGAATAAAAACCAAAGAGGCTCAACTTACAGTTATACAAAGCAGAGATAATGGGACAGGGAAGCTGAAACCAGATACTTTTTTAGCTTGATAGATAACCAAAAAAATTATATGTTTATTGCCTGTTCATTGACTCACTGATTATTTGAACAAGTCATTTCAGCTTTAGTTAGGGGAGATTACTTTTTGCAGAAATATACTAATGACTGAGCAGTGAATTTTCTCTCTAAAGCAGAGCAAGGCATTGACAGGACTGCAGTGTGTGTGTCTGACAACTATACTGTGGGAGGCTAATTTCCTGGGCTGACCCACCAACCTGGGTTTGCGCAGTGTGTGTGTGTGTGTGTGTGTGTTAGAGAGAGAGAGAGAGGAGAGTGCAGCCATGTGAGTCATGCCAGGCACTGACACATGGTAATTTAGTCTGTGACGCTCTGCTCCTTAACAAGCAATTTCAAAGTAAATCTGCTGCAGCTGTTTATACAGTGTATAAAAATAATCGTAGGTTGTTCTGCAGTGGTGAATTTGATCATTTTTATCTGCTCCTGAATGTCTATGTGTGTGTCTCTCTCTCTAAAGTATTTGGTGTACTGGTAACTCCATTTAATAAAGAAGAGAATTTTAATACACTCTAATGTTTTTATGTCAGACGTGCTGCATGTTTGTCCAACATTTGGCCTTTTACAACATTCAAGCTGTCCTCCTCTTTCTTTCTCTTTCTCTCTCTTTCTCAGGGGACGACGTGGTGTCCATGGCAGACTCCACCATCACCGTGGACGACATTGAGGGGGAACTTTTTAAGATTGAGAGGATCAGGGACGTCCTGGTCAGGAGGGAGTCAGAGCTGAGATACATGTGAGTGGCTTAACATTTTACTTTTTGGAGGGTCATGGCTGCCATCTGCAGCCAGTGTGATTAATGGAGACAAAACAAGTTCAATTACCGCAACCCAAACTCCAGATTTACAGTAGAATGGTGAAAGGATCTTTATGTTTAAAGGTTCAGTGTGTAGGTTTTAGTGGCATCTAGTGTTGAGAGTTGCGAATTGCAACCAAATGCTCAGTCACCTCTCACCCCTCCCTTTCCAAGTACGAAGGAGAAACTACAGTTACTACACACTCTGTCGGCTCTTGTGCTAAATAATATGTGTGGTCCTCTATTTGTCCAAATTTCACTTCTCTTCTTAACTTAACCGGTCGACTACTACTATTACTAGTACTACTACTACTACTTCTTCTTCTTCTTCTTCTTCATTCTTCTTCGTACTTATTCAGTGTAGTGACGAAATGCGCTCTGTTGAGCAGTTTGTCCGTTTTGGCTACTGTAGAAACATGGCGACACAACATGGTGACTTAAGGAGACCTGTGGTGTATGTAGATAGAAATGGCTCATTCTTAGGTAATTAAAACATAATGGTTTATTATGTAAGTTCTTTATATACCACAGAAAATGTAGTTATGTATATAGCAAACATTACACATTGGACCTTCAATGCTGGTTTGATTTCGTTTTGAGTTCCTTATTTTGCCAATGTGGTATGGTCTGCTAATTGCACACCAGAATGTAAAATCGATGAATAGATGAAAAGCGAAGATGAAACTTGGCTATTCTCAGATCCTTACCACCAGTGGGCCTAAACATGCATTAACCAATTGCCTAACCATAACCATGTCTTTGCTATCATTTCTTAGCCATAACACAATTTTGGGGACAATATGTTAATGTAGTACTATGAGAAACTTACATAAATAAATGATTCAGTTAATAAATCAATCTAGAAGGTCCACTGATACCTTGTCAAGCCAGAACAAACCATAGTAAAGAAGCTATGTACAGTCCAAATCATTTAACCCATTTTTCCATTCAAGAGCACAACTTTGTGTCAAAAACACATCTCCTAGAAGCATGTCCTCTATTCTCTCCCCCTCATTTCTCTCCATCACATCCCCCATTAAAATTTCAATGGCTTTACCTTTGCTTCCAATAAGCAGGCTAATGCATGGATATTTATTCATCTACTCCTCTGAAAGATAGGCAGTAACACCGCTCAGACAGCGGGGGGGATGTCAGGAGTGGCGTGTGTGGAGTAGCAAGCAAGAGCCAAGCAGATAAAGTGGGAGAATAGGAGACGGGAGGAGGAAGAGGTGGAGGGGAAGGGGAAGAGGACGGAGATGGAGAGTCACGATTTGAAGCACCTTTTTCCCCAGCGCTCGACAAACAAACAAACCCCAAGGTGTGTTTGATCTAGTAAGTTAACTAAAGCATATAATTTGTATTCTAGTCCTCATGGCCAACATTACCCCACCTACACTTCTGTGGAGAGAATCTTACATGACAGGTAGACGAGGCACGGTGGCAAGGCTCTCACTCTGCTGACATTGATGAATGGCTGTAATGTGTCAGGGATTTTGTGTCTGACCCTGTGAGTGCCTGTGTGTGTTTCTAAAAAAGGCCCAGTTGCTGTGATACCGGGCCACGTGAGTGCCTCTAACTCCTCTGTACCAGAGGGGTCTTTCACACCATCTCAGTGTCAGTAATGATCCACTGACTTGAAGGGCTATTGAAAGAGAAAGGGTGTGATAGAAACAGAGGCGGTGTGAAAGCTATCTGTCTCAGAGACGTCACAGGGATCTCTGCGTCATCTGCTGTGTGAAATATAGTAAAACTTTCTCTGTTTGAATTTCATTGTCCCATACCGTAAAGTCAGGATTTCACTTGTTAAAATAGAAAGTGATCTGATAACATGTGCAGTACTAACAAGTGTTTGTGTGTTTCTTTTGTTCCATCATGCATGCAGGATGGATGACATTCAGCTATGCAAGGAGATTACACGCCTGAAGAAGGAGCTGCACAAATTAGTGTCCATACCAGGTAGGAGTCATGTGGATATTGATAGTTGTTGACTGAGGATATCTTGTCAAGAATTTGTTGAGAATCTTGATGCCCCTCTCACGAGTGTACGCTTAATTTGAAGCTAGAGCCAGCAGGTGGTTACACTTAGTAAGATTCTTAGAGATTTTGCAGGATTGTTGACATTTGAACTCAACTGACAAACAAATGATTCACATTTCTCCATTGTTGAAACCAAGTGGGAACCTGCGGGTCTGAAAACATGGAGCCAATGCAGAAGTGCCTTAAACCTGCATTCGTTCTAACTGCCAGCAGGGGGATGACTCCACTGGTTGCAAAAAGAAGTTCTTTAATTAGACATAATGGTAAAATGAACCTACTTCCCACTTGGTTATTTACCTTAGTGAACACTTTCCTAATGAGTTTATGATGTCAATTTTTAGTTTCAAGTCTTCTTCAATACAGCATGTTCATTTATTAAATTATGATCCCATTTAGAGGAAAATAGAGGATAAAGCAGAGGATGCTTTAGGGTGGGACTACCTGGTGATTGACATGTTGCTACCATGGCGACCTGTCCATCAGGTTAGAGACAACTGTATACTGTACTGAATTATGGATGCACCTTGCTAACCAAGCTAGTGCCACCATCTCATCCAAATATTGTCACGTCCAGTGCCTGGTTACAAAAAATCTAGAAGTCAGTGGCTAAAATGAAATGTCCACATCTTTTATATAGTCAATTGTTGAAACACCTTCGCCCTTGCCTGGTCATATAACTTTCTCAGTTTATATTCTTCAGACCTTTTCCTCTTTGACTGTTTTTCCATATTTTTGCCATCTCTGCTTCATTTTGCTGATTGGCTGGAACAATGCTGCATGGCAAGGTTGACATCACTTCCTTTATTTCCCAGTTACAGTATAGGATAACCAGATTTTATTTTAGAGCACACACAAAACCGAGAGCTAGAAAACTGAGAAAATATTGGCAAATTTTAACAAAATGTATTGGACTGCAAGCACTTACTATCCCTTTAACATGATGTTATATCTTGTTTGCTTAATCTTCTCAAACAGAAATGTAAAATCAGAAGTAAAAAATCAAGAGAAACAGTTTATCCGTGTTGCTGCTTTTACATTTCTGTTAATGTACAGATTACAAGATACAATACAACCTGTTAATTCGTCAGCTTTTGACATGATGGTACGCATATTTATGAACTTTGGACATGGGCAGTTTAACTGTTTTACCCTGCTTCCTGTCTTCATGCTAAACTAGGCTAATCGCCCTCTGGCTCCAGCTTCATATTTAGTGCACAAAGCACATACAGAGAGTGGTATTGACCTTCTCATCTAACACTCAGCAAGAAAAATAATAATTGTAATTCTCAAAATGTATTGCTTTTAAATAAATAGATTTATAGATTTCCATATAGAATTATTAATTTGTTTATTTCCATATTTGTTTGTTTGATGTCCCACTGTTTGTAGTAAAGTAGATAATCTGGGACAAACACTAGATGCTAGATGTCTTGTGCTGCAGATAATGACAAGTCCAATGAGGACCGGCAGAAGGAAGAAGAACTATTGCAGCAGATCCACAAGCTCGTTGAGACCAGAGATTTCTTGGTGGACGATGTGGAGTTTGAACGACTCAGGTGTGCTTCAGACTCTATGGTTTCATTGCAGTTTGGCAGGATTCCTTTGGTCGTCTGTCACCATAGGCTGCGAATGAATAATTAAATATGAAAGTCTACTGCACGATGTCACCAGATAGAGATGCAGTGCACATTTATTGCCCATGCAGTCTCCCAGGAAAGGCTTCATGGAATTCTTCCCCCAAGCAGAGAAACTCTTGTTTTTTTATAATGACTGATAGGGCTCAGGTTGGAACATCGCTTGTAATCACTATTGCTCAGTTCAGTATCATCCATATGCATGCTCCCACAAAGGTACCCCATTGCACTCCATTAAAACACTGGAACATTTCCTAGGGCACAGTGCTGTGAGAGAGCATACCACAGAGCACACAGCAGAGAGCCATTTCAATTAAAGATGTGTCACCAGGCATCAGTGAGTACCCCAAAAGGAGCTGCCATTGGTTAAAAAAAAGAAACAGTTTGCATCTATTTCAAGTGCACCAATCCTCTTAATTCTGCTGCTGGCTGTTTTGTTCATGCAGGGGAACCACACATATTATACAATACACTACAGGGCACTTTACAGACTATTATTCACTTTGCCGTACAACCTTGTGTCGTATAATGGTACATAAATTACCTTGATACCTTGAAACAGTCAAATTAAAGCAGGTTGTTTTGCACACAATGTTTTCTTAATGCAGAGATGTCAAACATGTTGCTTGTGTGGTTAGAAATGTATTGTAGGGGACTCCAACAATGAATGCAATGAAGTATTTTGTCCTGCATTCGTAAAGAAGTTAAACCACTGTCTTCAACTTACAGTGGGTCCATTTAGAGTAACGCTTGGTTCCACTTTACAGGTAAATGAATGCATCTCTGCTTATTTGCCTATCCTGATGCAGCATATACATCCTCGCAGGTTGTTTAACTTGACACTTAACTTTTAATCTAATGTGTCTCAACAGTGGACAACCAGATGTGGTTTTAGGTTTTATTTCCACACCACTACAATTCTCAGACAGTATCAAGCACTGTGAGTTTGTGTGATCACCAATTTGAGTTGGCAGCTGACACCCTGCTGTGAAAACGCTGAAGGGTTACCGGGAAGGTGAGAGGCAGGAGGCAGGAGAATAACAGTGCGCTAATGGATCGTAGAGGGGAGATGCTGTGATGCCGCTCCCGGCCATGTTGTCCATGCTGATGAATATAGAAATCTTTCTATTGTTACTTCTCTCTACTTCTTTTTTTTACCCTACAAGGAAATTCTGTCTGCAGTTTTTATGTTTTAGTTTTTTTATTTCCAAAACAGGGCAGACATGGTACATTTGCAGAGTGTGTTTATCAAATGTAAGAATCTCTTCATAGACAAAGAGTGGCTGCCAGATTTATTGAATTTATTCCCCGAACCTCTCAGAGTAAATCTAATCTAAAACAGCCAGAAATGAATTAGGTTTCTTATCCAGTGGGTATCTTGGGAAGGTGTTTCATCTCTCCACTTTAGTCAAATCAGTCTTCTTTGAATTGTTCATTCCGTGCTTGTGGAATACATGGGAAGTGTAACGTAAAGACCATATTTGACTTTTACATCTGTATAATACAGGATTCCTGTCAGGATATATTTTGTCTTTTGTGATCTGAAGGGACTAAATTATAGTCCAAGTGCTTTAGGTATTCATGTATTTCCATGTGTTTTATACCAATCTTTCTCAATTTCTACAGGGAGAATGAAGAAGATAAAGAAATGGCAGATTTCCTGAAGTCCAAATTCCCCAAAAATATTAGGAAGACAGGTATTTAAGCATAAGGAAAGCTGCAACTTTGTGATTACTGAGGAGGAAATAAACAGTGGCAAATATTGTCCTTGTTCCGAATGTTTCTCTTGTTCAAGGTGTTTTCCTCCTGAGGCCTTTGAAGGATGAACCTTCACACATCCAATGACTGATTCACCATAAAATAGAAATGGGGGTACTAAGGCTATATATGATTTAGATCTCTGAAAAAAAAAACAGTGTTTCCTCCCCTTAGTCAAGTCATTAATCTTCTAAACTTTTTTAAACCTTGACAGTTAAAACTAAACACTAAACACAATGTGTGTGTGTGTGTGTGTGTGTGTGTGTGTGTGTGTGTGTGTGTGTGTGTGTGTGTGTGTGTGTGTGTGAGAGAGAGAGAGAGAGAGAGAGAGCATCAGAATCAGAGACATGAAGTTACAGATGAAGTTGTCCCTTACACAACTCTAACACACATAACGCAATACACCACAACATATCACAACATTTTTTGGAGTACATTTTATCTTTTTCTCAGTGTGATTTCTCTGTGCTTCAGGTGTACCAACCAGACGGGTGCCATCCAGGGCTCAGCAGGCCTCTTCTCCCTTCACCAAGACAGGCCTCACCCTCCTGAAGGAGTGCTGTGGCTTCACATGCTCCATCATGTAGCCTGGAGCCCAAAATGCAGGGCCCCACTCCAGGGCTGACAGAGGGGCCACACACCAAAATGGCCATTCCACAGGAGTCAATATTTCCAGTATCAGTTTTTCAGTCCGAGAAAGACTTTCAAGCATGGATGGAGCACTTCCAGATGCGAGCTGAGAATTTCCCAGAGTGAGAACAAAGGATGTTGCAAAGATCATGTGGTGTCTTTTCATGCCAAGACCCAAGTTCGTCTCATGTTGGATCTGTTTGTCACTTCCATTTTCATTTTGTCTTCCTCCCATGTCTCTGCTCCTGCTTTCATTTTTACTCTTGTTAAATATCACTACTGAGCCAACTTCTTCTGATCAACAATTTCCAAAAAGAGTAAACAGCATACAGGATGGTTTTGGACAGGAAAGACACCATTTGAAGGAAAGAAACAGAATAGCACAAGTTAGCACAAGGCATGGATAGCGTACACTAACACTAATTGGATTGAGACGGCGGCACTGAGCTGTATAACTGAGCTATAATAACTGTTATTTCCAAAAAAGGAGCTGTTTTGCAAGAGTCAACAGGCCATTCCAGACACACTTTATCATCAGTATTAAGGAAATAACACTAATGATACTGACATTAATCGGGAGCTGTGTCAGGATGAAGTTGCCTGTTTGACTCCAGATCCAAATTGGTACAACCTTTTGAAAAGTGGTTGTTCGTGAAGAGTCTCATAACGCTTGATTTTGCTTTAGTAACAGTTACCTAATATTGACTAATGTCTGTTTTTTTATTTGAGTGTTTCTTTTGCTAACCCACACTAGTCATTGTGTTTTACTTTTTGTCACCATGCTTCAGTATTTTATGACATATTCTGATGAGTATTAAACAGACGGTACAGTACGGAGGGGTCTAACAAGTTGACAGCAGAAAGTTATTAAGACTATATTTAGGTGTCCATATCGTTCTGTATGCACATGAGCAAGCTAAGATATCAACACATATAGACTTCTTTAATTTGAATAAATAATTCTTAGTCCTTTATGCTAAGTATCCATTTGCGTTTACACAAATGATATGGATCAGCTCACAACTGACACTGCAGACCACTACACCTAATATACACTCACCGACCACTTTATTAGGTACACCTGTTCAATTGCTTGTTAACACAAATAGCTTATGAGCCAATCACATGGCAACAACTCAGTGCATTTAGGGTATGTAGACGTGGTCAAGATAACCTGCTGAAGTTCAAACAGAGCATCAGAATGGGGAAGAAAGAGGATTTAAATGACTTTGAACGTGGCATGGTTGCTGGTGCCAGACGGGCTGGTCTGAGTATTTCAGAAACTGCTGATCTACTGGGATTTTCCTGCAAAATCATCTCTAGGGTTTACAGGGAATGGTTGGAAAAAGGGAAAATATCCAGTGAGCGGCAGTTGTGTGGAGGAAAATGCCTTGTTGATGTCAGAGGTCAGAGAATGGGAAGACTGGTTTGAGAAGACAGAAAGGCAACAGTAACTCAAATAACCACATCGTTACAGCCAAGGTACGCAGAATACCATCTCTGAACACACAACACGTCGAACCTTGAAGCAGATGGGCTACAGCAGCAGAAGACCACACCGATTGTCATTCCTGTCAGCTAAGAGCAGGAAACTGAGGCTACAATTCGCACAGGCTCACCAAAATTGGACAATAGAAGATTGGAGAAACATTGCCTAGTCTGATGAGTCTTGATTTCAGCTGCGACATTCAGGTGGTAGGGTCAGAATTTGGCATAAAGAACATGAAAGCATGAATCCATCCTGCCTTGTACAAACAGTTCAGGCTGGTGGTGGTTTTGTAATGGTGTGGGGATATTTTCTTGGCACGCATTGGGTCCCTTAGTACCAATTGAGCCTCGTTTAAATGTGACAGCCTACCTGAGTATTGTTGCTGACCATGTCCATTCCTTTATGACCACAGTGTACCCATCTTCTGATGGCTACTTCCAGCAGGATAATTCACCATGTCACAAAGCTCAAATAATCTCAAAGTGGTTTCTTGAACATGACAATGAGTTCACTGTACTCCAGTGGCCTCCACATCACCAGATCTCAATCCAGTAAGGCAACGTTGGGATGTGGTGGTCGTGGAACCATCACTTCATGGATGTGCAGCCAACAAATCTGCAGCAACTGCGTGATGCTATCATGTCAATGGACATTTTTGGAAAGTATGACATGAAGAATTAAGGCAGTTCAGAAGGCAAAAGGAGGTCCAACCCAGTACTAGCAAGGTGTACCTAATAAAGTGGCCAGTGAGTGTATATACAGTATATAGCACTCCAGTGATAAAGGAAATCATCGCACACATCACTAAGGCACACGTGACAGTGTTTTGAGTGGGTATATTATATTTCATATTAATCCGCTGGCGAGGGGCAAAACTCTTTAGACCTCTTTCACTATGAATAAAAACTTGTCAACACCGTATATTTGATCGGTTATTATGGTCTGAATATTACTGAAGGCATATCCATGTCCATTACATTGGCACAGGGACGGCCAATAAAACTATGGAGCAGATCTCTGTGTTGCCAAGAAGAATAGTTGCCATAGCAACCTTGTATAGCCCATATCTTTACAATGAGACAACAATGAAGGTTGGTGGATCAGAGAGATGAGACTTCATAGATATGACAAAAACAAATATGCAAGCGCTATCATGGTTACCCTAATGAAAGGTAAACAGGAGACAGAATAATATTGCTGTTGTAATTGTTGTGATTTTAATTTTTCGGATTCACTCTGGGGATAAAACAGTCTACTAAGGATTGCAAAAAATCTACCATAATTAAGCTTCTGACTCTTTTCCACACCCTTTTAGATTATTATAGACTATCAACCCCTTGGAGATTAAGTAAGCACAAAGTTGCTGTGCTTGACTGGAAAGTTGACATATTGGAGAAACAGATTAGATGAAAGTCTTTAATTCATTATAGATAATTTCTCAGTGAGTCACCCAGGTTGTTTCAAATTCTACTCTGTTTGGTGCAGTGTTCTCTTTCATGGTTTTTCCCCCAAACTAGTCCTTGGGATGGATACATGGACGCAGCTGTCTCTTTTGTTTAAGCGCTGGATCTTTTGCTATTCAGTCTCAACACTGTCATAGAGGCTTTGGGCCACATATCACCCAGCAACCATGTCTGGTGTAGTCATGTTGAAATGCAGTATGTAACATCCATGGTAGAAAAACAAAAAGTAAGGAATGTGAGAAGAGGCGGATAGAACTTTTGTTTTAAAATGTAAAGTAATGAGAATGTAAACCAATTTACTGTTTACTGTATTTGTAACCTCAGTTTTGAAAAAGACAGTAATGGTTAGATGAACTTTACAAATAAAAATATCTTGGAAACAAAATCTATCATACAGAGCCTTAAATTTAAGCCTGTTCCCATGATTGAGCTACACAGTGGTCAAATATAGCTCTTTTCCCTGACGAAGACCTTCATATAGTCTTTTTTAGTGTGTGGGGACATTGAGTGTGTGACATGTTTCTGTTTCTCAGTTTTCACATTTAGACATAAAACCAGCTGTTCACATCAGCTGGAGGGTGTGTTACATCCCCTTACTGTGCTTTTCACAAGTCAAGCAAGAATTCAAGAATTTTTCCGAGGAGAACTCTTGGAGACGTGGAAGAGACCACGTAGCCTCTTAGGAGAGACACACTGTCACAGGTAAAGGAGTCAGGGAGAGAAAATGATGTAAGAAGAGAGGTTGAAGTGGACGAGCGGAGAGGAAGAAAAAGAAAGAAAGACGGTGGGAGGGTACAGAGTTGGGGGGGGGGGGGGGGGGGGGTCTTATCTTCAGGGTGAGTCATCCTTAGTGAAAACACTGCGAGTTCTCACAAGGAAAAGGGCAGGGCTGTCATTCAAACACCATAGTCCTGGACACCTGCACAGCTCACTGTGTATTAAAGGAGACAGCACAAACGAGTTGTTCATGCATGTGAGAAACAAATAAATGAGAAAGAAAATGTGTGTAGTATGTATACCTGTGCTAGTTTGCGAGCCCAGGATCAGGAGGGTGATCGTAACAAGAGGTACAGTAGCTGTCCGCGGGTGAGCTGTCACTGCTCTATTACTATGGTTACTGTGACTTGATGTACTCTCACTTCTTATTTAATTTGTTCATGCTATGTAATAAAGTATAATGCAAGGCTGCATGTGGTATAATAAATATAAATAAATGTGATCACATAGATTGCAGAGAAATATAAATATGAAGCTAGAGCCAGGAAGAGATTAAAAGCTTACCATGAAGACTATTTTGCATGGGGAAACAGGGAGCCTGGCTCTTTCCATAGTTCAAAAATACACCCATAAAAGCACCTCTAAAACTGGCTCATTCAATACGGATGTATTAAAGAGAAATGGATATGGATACTGAATACTCAATCTTGCTGCTCCCGTGGCCACTTTTTTGCAATGCAATTTGAATTGCAATATAAAAAAATCCCCTGCGGCCCAAAAAGCATTTTCCCCAAAGACCACCATTGTTAAAAAGACATCTGTAAAACACAGGACACCTCAATGTCAAACAATGTCAGTTATTCTTTGTCAAAGGAATGCTTTTATATTTGTAAACCTTTTCCAGAGACTTGAAAAGCTGTTTTAAAGTGTGTGATGTCATCCCAACGTAAAGTCTTTGGGCCCAGTGGGAATGAATGGGAGGGGCCAATGGGAGAAACACTAATGAGCATGTGCGGAGGGCCACACACACAACATGGAAGCAATCCTGGTAACTAGAAAGCTTTTTTGCCATATGCCCTCAGTGAGCAATTTTCATTCAAATGTCTGAGTCCAGTATCAAGTTCTTAAAATACATCCATGGCTCCGCTGCTGTTTCCCAAGAAATATTTCCAGCAAGTAACTCTGCAAAAGAACAACTTGTCCTTCAGCAGTGTTGGTATGTATTTTTTTTTTAAAACTTTGGTCAAAAAAAACAACAAACAAACAAGCTAGCTGTTTACCCCTGCCTTCTGTCTTTATGCTAAGCTAAGCTAACCACCTGCTGGCAATAGCTTCATATCAACTTCTCATCTAACTTTCAGCAAAAAAGCATTTAAACATGTTTCCCAAAATATCAACTTGTCATAATAGCCATTAAGTGAACTGCAGTCAGCCTCCTGTTGCTTACAAATGTTATTGCACTCCATAGGTGCAAGCAAGCATCCTTGCCAGACCAGGACCGAACATAGCCTCTGACGGAGGTTTGACAACAGGGAATACAATACTGAGGTGATTTACAGCAGCTTCGACCAGGACCAGGTTCAGACGGGGACAGGAGAGACATGAAGCAGGAGAGGAGTGAGTGGGAGGTCGGGCATCAGTCAGCGGCCACCTGTGGAGGCCTCAGCGGGGGTTACGGTGGGGTCAGTTCAGGGGTGCCAGGAGCCAAACCTGGTGAGAAAACCACCAGTCAGTACTGTTGTATCATCTTGGTTTCTCTTATGGAAGCGAAAACGCTCTGCAAATACGAAGAGCTTGGGTGAGAAGTGGGATGTTAAGGTGAACACATGCTGTCATGGCTTTTGGTCCTGGGCTTCTCTGGCTGGGCAAGGGAATGCAGCAAACTGAATGTCTTTGCTCTATCAATGCTGTTTGCTTGGACAAAAACATCTTAACATCTTAACACTAACCAGCTGTTATAACCAGCTGGTGAGTTTGAATGTACTCACGACTCCCTCGTTTTCACTGCCAAGTTGTGTCGTTCTCGCGATGATGAAGCTAATTAACTAAACTGCTAGCTTCCAACAGTCACAGCCAAAAAAAAGGCATAACAACAGTGCCAGCTTGAAATCCTTGTTCCTTGTTGCCGTTGTTGTGTCTTCATGAGTATTACTCCAACTTAAACTACAAGTTACAGCAATAAGTAGAAATAGACCGACTTCTCACTGCAACGCTAGCTGATTTATTCATCTGTATAAAGCTATTGTGCGCTCCATACCCGCCAACACTCCCGTTTTACCGTGATTCTCCCGTATTTCAAGGCCATCTCCCGACACCCTCCCATTTCGTTGTTCCTCCGAGAAAACTCGCATATAACCCTCAAACTTCACAATGAATTATCGTCAAACACAAATCCAATTTTTTGGATGTTTGTCTGACATCACCCAAGTTCCCACATCATTATGAAACATCTATGCACACAATCCACACACTCACCTGAGGCCCC